AACTAAATGTGAATGGTGGTTGAAATGGTTGAAATACAATGCTGCGTGAACTCAACCAATCAGCATGTTCAGCGCTCAAGTCCTGTCCCCAAAAGTTCCGGACCTTTGAAAAAGTACTACCTCGCGAGCAGGGACTTTCTGAAGGGCAATTTTTTTTTTTTACCCAGAACTTTATTTAGATCCTGGTTCCTGCGGTGGAAACACACCCAGTACCGGCCCAAAGTCGGGGAAAGTTCCTGCGGTGGAAAAGGGGCTAAAGATTCAATCTTCCATCATCTTCTTGATCTGCAGGTCAGAACCAATATATAAGTAATGTTTATGGATACAAAATATTAAATGATTTAAAAATTAAATACAGACCTTCCTTGCTCTTCCAGCAATATCTGCATTGCTTGATGATGCGGTCAAATGTTCCATGTGGAAGTAAACTGCTGTGAACTGCCCTGAGCTCTGCAGGTTCCGGTCCTTTCCTCCAGATCTCAGTAAGGTATGCAAGGCCCAGGTTACAGGTGGGAGCCAGCGTGTCCCCCTGACACCACCTGGGACGTTGACACGCACACCCAGGTCTTCTCCAAGGGCTCTGAGCTCTCTCATAGACTTGGCACTGTAGTGGTATGTCTTCCACACCATGTTAAGGAGATTGTAGACTTGGTCCACCATGGGGATTTTTCTTTGCATGGACAGCATTGCCAGCTCCAGTCTACAATTAAAGTGTATACATTACATACATACATACATACACACATACGTTGGTTACTACCCCTAACTTTAGCCTGACTGTCTACATAACCTACCTATGTGGCAAGCAATGGAATGGGACAATAAAATTCCCTGCCTCAGCTTGGAGGAGGGCTATTACACCTCCCTTATGTCCAAGATTGACTGCAGCGCCATCAGCTCCCATGGCAACTGTCTTCTCGAACCACCCTGTTTCTGTCCCTAGTTGATGAAAGGCCTCTTTGGTGCCATTATAGACTCCTTAAAATAAATTGTTGTTCAATTAAATTTGATTCTGGAATGATATTCAATATATACCAAAACCACAAAGGACTGGGACAATAAATCGATTCGTCTCGATTCGTGGATTGATTCTGTTTTCCTTATGTATCACGATTCTTCTAAGCTTAGTTTATAACAGCAGATGGCGCACTAGGCTAGTTTTTAACCACACGCTCAAATGCACTTGAATAAGAGAGTGCTCGTGTGTTCGGCAATGTACTTGCACCTCAGAATTATTTTATGACGCGAGATTAATGTAAACAGCCCATTGCAAACACCCTTGTAATTCACTTCAACCTTTTCGAATTTTATGAATGATTATTTTATAGAAGGTTCAAGTGGTGTGTGTAAGGAATTGGAAGCAAGCAGAGTATGGCTGTTTCTAAAGCACACAGTGCCATCTGCTGTTGAAAACTAAGCTGAGGATCGATTCGAGAGAGAATCGTGATGTATTCGGGAAGTCTCAGAATCATTTCTCGATTCGCGATTCAACGATTTTTTGTCGCAACCCTAATTTCCCCCTGTCATCACACTGAACAGTTAAATCACTGTGGCACCTACAAATAATATTTTTTGGCTTAAAAAGGTTAAGAGCATAGAAACTGTTTCACTTTTTCAATCATTCCTGGCATGTAATTCTAACTGCTGTGTTCTGAGTAAGCACTAAACTGAAGTCAAATTCAGATACAGTAATTAACATACCTTATGCATTTGCATGCTGGACTTCCACATGGCCAATCAAAATATTCGTTGGTTTCCCTTGTTGCAGGATCCTTGCGTACACTATTTCGCATTCTTTAGTTGAAACATCTGTCACCATCAATCATGAATGAGATAAGTGGCGTCCTTTATCTTCTCGTGAGTCTTCTGTTTGAGTGAATCTGCAATAGCGCCAATGAACTGCGCACATGCTGTGTCCTTGCTGTATGTAGGGTTCAATTTTACGCCGTTCTTTTTTAATAATTCAACTTGACTCTTGAATTTGGTGAATGGTAGTGCCTCTTTAGCAATGAAATACGCGGTGTTAAATTTTCCAATCATTTCAGCCTCGTCTGCTGACTCAATGTTAACTTCTTGTCTGCGAAATGCAGTTGGAAGTGGCAATTCAGTTGTATTCACGGATCTGTCTTGGCACATTTTATGTTTTAAACTGATGTTGTGTTTCACTAATGTGTCGTGTTTGAACTGTGTGGTGCCGGTTGCCTCAGCGAATTAGTTTTTTCTCTGAATGTTGACTACATCGAGAGCAGAAGTTTGCAGAAGATTGTGTAGGTGGTTTTGCAATATCGAAGCCACGTAAACTCACTCAAGCCATTCCTGACGGAATAATTGTTGTCTTGGCTTTTTCACCACAGCGGGCGACTCGTCACCTGATTTTTCCTTCTCGGCAAATTGTTGTAGCTGGCCTGGCTTTGCTGAGAAAAAGGCATCAATTGTTCGTTTTGCCATTTTTGACTGAATTGTGACGGTAGACGCGACGACAGCGAGAAACATTTGACGCGTGACCCGCGCAGTTGACTAATCACTTCCGGACCCTCCCCCTCTCTACAGAAGTCAACATTTGAAGTGGATCAAAACCTTTCATCAAAGTTGTCCTAAAACCAAAACAATACCCATTCTTGCCTTAGGACAACTTTGATTAACTTTTTTGATCCACTTCAAATGTTGACTACTGTATACATAGGCCTACACTGTTGGGCTCGCGATCTTCACGTCTTTCAACATGAAATAATTTTAATAATTTCCAAATTTGCAGGTCGCACATGCGCGAGTACTTTTAAATAATACTCGTGCTGTCTCAAAAACTGGTCGTAAAATGCGAGCATTTTATCACAGTCTGGAGCCCTGGAATAGATTTTGGATTCTCAAGCCAAGGTATGGGTTAACATGTTAAATAAAATGCTCTTGATTTTTTAAATAAAAAATTATGATTTTTTTCTTACCGAAAATGTGCCTGGAATCCACCTTTGTTATTATAACAAACTACACTTTCAATGAGATTTTTAACCATTCAAGTCAAGAAGATTCACGGGCTATTTTCTCTGCTGGACACACATCCTTGTGTAAGTGTTCTTTAGCCTGTTGATTTTCATGCATATTATTCAGCTAACTATGAAATATTTTGCAATAAGATGATATCTAATATTTTTTATTTATTAATTTTATTTATTTTTACCTTATTCGAATCGAAATTAGGAATTGACATGAATTGGAATCATTAAAATTCAAATGATGCCCAACCTTACGTTTTTTTTACTGGCACCTTTCCATTCACACTGTTTAAGACCCTTTCTTTTCTTTTAAACCTTCACTTACTCTTCTTTGATTTTGCCCTTCTTAAAAACAACCACATCATTTTATACGTGAATGTACTTTTCAAAATTAGTTATAAAACAGTTGCTCCTGGCAACAGGGATAGGTAATATGTTTCCTTAACATAGCGTCAAACATGCAACTTATGAGACTAATATCATGTTTTGCTCCAAAATCACTATATAACATCAGTCGTGTTTGAAACAGTTAGCTTCTGTGGTTCCATGTTGCTTCTTATCACAGTGAGAAATTCTATACTGTGATACAAGCTGTCAATTAACAACGGATTGCAATTTTGTGTTTATTGTCTTCCACGTTTCATCAGCCAAAGTGTCTCTATCTGCATGTTATTCAGCTGTAATGATATCTGATGCATTTGTCTATATAAAGGATTTCCTGGGTCTCACTTGTGAAACAGACATTAAAGTACATGAGTGTTAAGATTAAAGCTAACCCTGCTCCATAATGCTCACATCATCTCATTTTGGGTAAAAATAGAAAAATAATACTAAAGTACTTTGTAACGCAGTAACTTCAGTAGTTTTTCAGCAAACTACTTTTTTACTCTTACTTGAGTCATATTATTTTTCAGTACTTTGACTTGTGCTCAAGTAAATTATTCCTTAAGTAGCAATACTTTTACTTAAGTACAATTTCTTAGTACTCTTTTCACCACTGGAAGCGTTTGAACTCGCCACAGAATGAATAAGGTTTCTGTGAGATCTAGTGAGAAGCATTCCAATTCTGCACAGAATTCTGTTATGAACCGATCAAACAGCGCTGATGCAGAAACCCAGAAGCAGTAACACTAACTATAACCATGGTGTTGTGGCAGAAATAGTACAATGTTATTACATCATTAATTTCCGGGTTTGTACAACCTCTTGAGAGAGAAATCCAAGCACTTTTCAATGACTTTCAAGTATTCCACACAGCTGTTTCCAGCACTTTAAAGCTCTAAAAATGATCACATTTAAATGTTTTTAATGGGACAAAACACAATGTATATCAAAATATAGATTTGTTGTAAATAAACACTTATGTAAAATTTAAAAATACATTACATTACCACTATAACCTGTAGATGGCAGCAGAGTAGCACTTATTGGCTTATTAGTCATTCATTCCTACTTGCTTTATATTTTGAAATGATAAAATAACTATTATAAAACTTCAGATCATAAAGAAATCAAATTTTGTCAAAGTTTTGCACTATTTTTGTGTATGTAGTAAAAAAACAAATCACAAATCACCAAACTTTTCTTCCCTTTGCGACTGAATCATCAATTATAATCACTGAAGCTGTCGGTCAGTTCTATATAATACTATAGAAGAATAATGGTACATTTAGTAAGAGTAGAATATATACATTTTCTATAGAAAATTAGATTTTGCACATTACTGATGTTATTAAAAGTAAATTTTGAATGCTTCACAAATCAAGCTCAGTTATTTACTGTCAAATGTGTATTACCAAGAAATAAACATTTAATATTATTAATAACTGCACTTGTTAATGCAAAGCCATAGTAATGTTATAATTAAATTATCTTTATTTTTGATACCCCACACACCAGGCCCTGAGCGCTACCAAATCTGCTTCTGGTGCCACCATCTGTAAAAGTTAGTGGCGCTGCTCTCAAATGTTAGTCTGGAGCCCTGCACTGTTACATCAGGGTTCACTTTTATGTTCACATTTCACCATTTTTACTTTTATTTCAGAATTGATTGAAGAAAAAGAGAAGAATGAAGAATCAAGTGAAGTTGAGGAGAAAAATCATGTCAAAACAGGAGAAAAACCTATGAGTTGCACTCAAACCAAACAGAAAGATTTAAAGAAAAGAAGAGCCAAGAAATCTTTCACCTGCACTCAGTGTGGAAAGAGTTTAACGCGCAAAACAAATCTTAAGCGTCACATGAGAGTTCATACTGGAGAGAAACCGTTCACTTGTGATCAGTGTGGCAAGAGTTTCTCACAATCAGCACACCTTTATGATCACATGAACATCCACACTAGAGAGAACCAGCACGCATGTGATCAGTGTGGTAAAATATTTTTACGGGCTTCAGTTCTGAAGAAACATCTCAAAGTTCACTCAAAGGAGAAGCCACATTCATGTTATTTGTGTGGTAACAGTTTTTTGCATCTACAAAATTTGAAAGTACGTCAGAAAATACATCCTGCTGTGACAGAGTGCATGTGCTTTGAGTGTGAAAAGACTTTTACTTCAGCAACCTGTTTAAAACTGCATGAGAGGATTCACACTGGAGAAAAACCTTATAGGTGTCCACACTGCAACAAGATATTCGGTGATTCAGGAGACCTAAAAAGACATGAGAGGATCCACACTGGAGTGAAACCTTATAAGTGTTCACACTGTGACAAGAGATTCAGTCAGTCAGCACATCTGAAAAGACACAATAATATCCACACTGGAGAGAAACCTTATAAGTGTCCACACTGCAACAAGAGATTCAGTGATTCAAGAGACCTAAAAAGACATCAGAGGATCCACACTGGAGAAAAACCTCATAAGTGTTCACACTGTGACAAGAGATTCAATAGGTCAGGAGACCTGAAAACACATGAGAGGATCCACACTGGAGAAAAACCTCATAAGTGTTCACACTGTGACAAGAAATTCAATAGGTCAGGAGACCTGAAAACACATGAGATGATCCATATTGGAGTGAAACCTTATAAGTGTTCACACTGTGACAAGAGATTCAGTCAATCAACACATCTGAAAACACATGAGAGGATTCACACTGGAGAGAAACCTTACAAGTGTTCACACTGTGACAAGAGATTCAATCATACATCAAATCTAAAAAGACACGAGAGGATCCACACTGGAGAGTAACCATATCACTTGCACTGCATGTGGGAAGCGTTTCAATCAATCATCTGCTATACACAGTCATACAAAAAACAATCACAGTAAGTAGATCATCTTCAGATCCAGCACTTTCAGGTCTGATGCTGCGTCCTCACCAAATGCCAGATAATAATGTGGGCAAGCTAAAAAAATATATAATCTGGATAAATCTGTCCTAACTGTACACATGTAATCTATGTGGAAAGAGTTTGAAATGCAAATACAATCTTGATGTTCACATGAGAGCTCATTCTGGAGAAAAACCGTTCACTTGTGAGTTTCACACAATCAGCAAACCTTAAACCTTATAAGTGTTCACACTGTGACAAGAGATTCAGTCAGTCAGTACACAATCAGCAAACCTTAAACCTTATAAGTGTTCACACTGTGACAAGAGATTCAGTCGGTCAGTAAATCTGAAAACACACGAGAGGATCCACACTGGAGAGAAACCATATCACTGCACTGCATGTGGGAAGCATTTCAATCATTCATCTGCTCTACACAGACATACAAAAAACAATCACAGTAAGGCCCTATACACACGCAGATGCATTTAGCTGTATATGAAAATTTTTTGTATCGTATTGTCGTTTCGTCCAGGTGCTGGGAGCCTGAAAACACTAGTTTTTGAAACCGGGACTCAAGAGTGGATAAATCTGAAAACGACAGCTTTGTGTTTTGTGTGTACAGCCAATCCGTATATTTTGTGAAACAATGAAGTCATCACCCCATGTCTTTACCCCAGTCAGACACCGCTACGTTACGTAACAGCAACAACAATAGCAAAGGCAGAGTACATGCTTGTGTTCATGCTGCAGAAGCTACTAAGCCTATTGGCTTTACTAACTTTACTAGTGGATGAGCCCTAAGTAGATCATCTTTAGATCCAGCATTTTCAGATCTGATGCTGCATCCTCAACAAATGCAACACAATAATGCATCAAGTAATATAATATCATCTGGATAAATCTGTTCTAACCAGTCATAACAAGTGACAAGACAAAGAAATGTTATCTAAAGTTTTCACAGTGAATAAAGTTCTTCATCTTTAAAACCAGAAGATTCAACTGAGATTCAAATCAACTCAAAGACGGAGTTTCTCACCAAAGGACAATGTAAAAAAGTTTTATTCTTGTGTATCATTTTGCTTCATGATATAAATGATATCATTGTGTTTGCTTATGAGTTTCATATTATGTTCAGTTGTCTTATAATGCATATGTGTCGCTTGTAGTTTGCTTACACTTTCATGAAGGGAAAGTAGATGCTTTTTACAAACTGTTCTTGTTCAAGACTTAAGAGAGACTGAGATTTAATTTTAATTTGTCCTTCATTGTTGTTTTTAAATTGACTGAGTTATTCTTCCACTTAAGATGTATTTAGAAAACACAGATGCAAGATATACTGTCATGTATTTTTGTAACTGATTCTTCTGTGCTTCTCTTGTAAGTAGGCATGAATATCTAAACCTGGTATTAAACGAGCTCTGGGGCTAAATAGTATGGAGAAGCTCTAATGTTAACTGTTCTGCTTTTGGTGCTGGGGAAATTAAGGAAATACACTTACAACAGTATTATCAAGCTAACTGTATCTTGCCAACCGTTTCTACATGCGATAATATTAAGACATTCATCAATGACACTTTTTTTTATTTTGCAATCTAGAAGCCAGATCTCTCTCGTACTTTAGGGCTGTGAGATTAATCTAATTTTATTTTCGACTGAGTTTGACTTCTGAGGATTATGAAAACAAGTTGTTTGATTTAAAGCAATATATTAGAGACAATCTGATATGTCTTGATGACTTTATGGTCGCCGCGTGCGTGTCTGTTAAGTCCACATGACTGAAGTAATACATTATTATAACTTGCTCATGGTGTCATAAAAGTGAAGCCACCGTACCACCATATTGCTATTCCCTAGTATTCTCATATATTTTTGAATGAACCCTCTAATCGCCAAAGTTGCAAAATTACGACAAGACGTCATACTTAATAAAATAGACTAGTTCCTAATATGGTGTAATATCTCATTTGTATTCCCTACCACAAGATGGCAGACATGTAGTACTTCGATTCTAGACCAAAATTACGCCACGTTCCTATTCAAAGTGTTCGAGGAAATAGCAGAGCAAGTGAGCTATCGTGTCATTGATGCGGAAGCAGTTCAGTTCATAGCGTGCGAGTAAATTGTGAGATTTGTGAGAGAAAATCGCTAAATGGCTAATAAAAAGTTGTACCGTGAGGATGTGTTGCAAATGTTATTCGCCGATTCTGACTCTGAAGGGGAATATTTGCCTTTTGGAAATGACGATCAGTAGTCTAATAATCGCGCTTCTCCCGGTACAAATTTGCAGCGCAATGGTGCCACCGTGCAAGGCGAGAATGTTCACGAAACACAAACAAGTGATCATTTCGACCCTTTGCCCAACGGGGATGGGGGTGGCAGCGGTGGACATGGTCGTTGTGTCCATAGGAGAGCTGTTGCTAGAGGTAGAGGCAGCAGGGGTAGGAGAAATAGGGCTGGAAGTAGAACTAGCTCTTTGGATCCAGTCAGAGCGCTCTGGATCCAGTGCCCCAAAGAGGTGGGAGTGCGCTGTGCCATGCAATGAGAGGTACCATACTCTCAAGAACTATAAACTTTGTCACTGTTGATTTCCTCGTTTCCTAATTATTTGGAATGAGGATAAAAAGACAAAAAAAACATTCAAATAAGTTCAAACATCCATTCAATATCTATTATTTCCTGAATATTACTGATGAACTGATCAAAAAGTAGGCTACTGTTCACATGCATTTTA